TACACGTGGTTCCAAAAAAGACTGACGACCATAGGGCCCTAGACAACATCACTACGCCCGACCGATATCCAAAACCACACATCCAGGACTTAACAGCAGCTTTAGGAGAGTGCACGATCTTCAGCAAAAATTGATCTTGTTCGAGTGTACAACCAAATCCTCGTGCACCCTCAGAATATCCTAAAAACCGCTGTGACCACGGCATTTGGTCTCTTCGAGTTACTGCGTATGCCTTTTGGCTTGAGAAACGCAGCTCAAACTTTTCAGCGTTTTGTGGACCAATTATGTTAAGGCCTGGACATCACCTGCGTTTGATTAGACGACATTTTGGTCGCTGGGCCAACGCCTGAGGAATTAGGGGAATTAAATAATATGTGCAAAACAAGCTCGTTGGTCATCCAGGCCTCTGCCAATCGTGTGTTCTCTTATTTCTAGCGTGATTCAGCTTCTTTCTGGCCCGCGAGGTTTCTGATTGGCTGGTACAATTAACCTATAGTATGTAGTTCAGAAACTGTGACACGTACGCGCATTGCTGACGACACCCGTGAAGCTTGATTGATCACACTTGTCCTGAAACTGTAACGTGTCGCTCCGTGGTATGCGTCATCTCGCAGGCTAGGATCATCATAGGTTGTAAGAACTGAACTGAACGTATCCTGGATATTAAATTTCTGCAGTGTGCAAGCTATCTCCGTCCGAACTGATGCGGTTCTGTCTCAACCGTTCCCGGTGAATTCTGGCGTTCCATTAAATTCAATACTTGCACTCATCCTCTTCTTTTTTCAATGACCACAACGCCATCTCCTTTCCAAAGCTGTTAACCCAGTCCATTCTCTTACCGATGACACTACCCTCCACTTCTCCCTCTCCTACCGCACTATTCAACATACCCGAACCAACACTGACCACCCTACCGTAGTGCAGTTTATATCATTCGTCTCCGATCTCGAACACGTCTGCTCCTGGAGCAATTTCACTCAGATGTCATTCAGTGCTTCTAAAATCTCACTTCTTTTGATTTCTCTAGAGCACCATTTATCCCCTCCCTCCACTTATCTTTTGATTCCACCCAACTGCTTTCCACAGACTGTTTCCCTTCTTGAACTGCCCACAACTTCTTTATGCTGATCCCCTTTTATATTTTGAGGTAGAGCTTCATCTTCCTTTTCCCTGCTTGATCGTGTTCAACGAAAAGCCGTCCGACTAATCGATGATCCTTATCTAACCTCCAATCTGCCTTCAGTACCCCCATCGTCGGGTAGTTGCTTCGCTGTTCATTCTCTACCGTTACTACCTTGTTTTTGGGGACTTACCTCAGTAGTCCCTCTTCCCGTAACTTTTGCCCACCCACCCCGTACACGGGCATTTAGTCATTCTTATCAGACTTCGATCACTGAATGAACTCTGTTTTTTACAGAACTAGCGAGTTGTAGAACACTCCCATTTTCTCTTTCCCCCAATTTACACCATTCTACTCTTTAAAAACCGGGTCTTACGTAAATGTTCCTCTCTCTTTTCTTGTGAAAAACAAGAACAAGATTCACGTGACCGGTTTGGACGTATGACTTTCCAAGTCCTCTTTACTCGAATTCAGATGAGTGCTTCCATTTTATTGGCGCGGACTCTACAATATTGTGTTTGGTCGTACGTGTAGACAGCAACGGCTACGAAATCTTTTGGGTTCGTATTTGTTTTTCGTTACGAACGTTTCATCGATTTTCGCCATCCTTGTGGGGTTTTCAGATATTTTAAAACACCTCATCCTACTCAAGTCACTTTGGTAGATAATAGGTCACTGATGTTAGCCAGAACCTTTCAAGAATAATAACTTAATTCATTTCCCTTGGTCCGTTCAGTGCGAACAGAACCAAAAGTTCGGTTAATGAACACCGTATGGGTTAGACGTCAGTTGCTGCTAGTGGTTAACACCCGGCTTCTAGGCCCAGGGGTTATTTTGTCTTCGCTTCTAATTTGTCCACCTCGTTGTTGAATCCTTAGTGAAGCCCTTCAATTTCTAAGGCAGGAATACTGCCCCGGATGACGGCAAAATCTTCCACTGTAGCTTAATGGTTGGCACCATTTTTAAGCTCATTTTCTTTGAATTCCCAAAAAGTATCCAGCTAAGAATTAATATCCATCTTTTTTATTTTAGATTGCTCAGAAAATAACAGAACTCAATCTAGTTGGCGACCATTTGCTTCGGGACGACTATAAGTTGATACAGTGGCGTACGGGTTTGTTTAACAATGCAGCCAAGATGAATGCACGTGCCACGTAAGTGAGCTACCGCAATGCTTTCTAATCACATCCCATTTGTCTGTTTAAATCTTCTGCGATTTTGAATTTGTCTTTTATATTGAGACGAACACGGAACGCGTTCTTAAACTTCCTCCCATAATCGCTTGTGCGGATTATCAACTTTGCGGGATAGATTCGACAATCTAATTCCTCATTTCATTTGTGCATTCTTGCCTACGGAAAAAATACTGTAGGATAGGGTTAAAAGGCCAAAGTTCACCGCCTAAGCATAACGGTGAAATACCTAGGAGTTCATAAAAAGTTCAGTTTTCACAACCACCAAACATGCACTTTCGTGCGCCGGTTTTGGTTGCCACCTTTTGACTGCCCAGTAGAATAGAGCAGCAGGAGAAAGACAAGAAAGTTGTAGTAGAGTCAACGAGAAAATGGAGAATTTCAATAGACTAAGGTTGCAAACAAATTGGGAAGGGCAGTGTCTGTGTTCTAGAATTTGGCGAAGTTTGAAGATGTCATCATCATCATACAGCGAAATACAGTGAAGCGAACTTCACTGACCGCTGCCAAACTCACAATGCATACAAGGTTAGTGGTAAAAT